AGCCCGTGTGCCAGTGTGTGACAGATCTCTGCTGAAGCATCATGGGAAACTCCTCCAGCATGTCAGTGAAGGAGCTGAGCGCATGTCATTCCCATCAGTGGTACCGCAAGTTCATGACCGAGTGTCCGTCCGGTCAGCTCACCTTCTACGAGTTCAAGAAGTTCTTCGGCCTGAAGAATCTGTCAGAAACATCCAATGAGTACGTCAAGACCATGTTCAAGACGTTCGACATAAACGACGTAAGACAGGCTGTTATTTTTCTACTTATTATTTACTGTTTTACTAAATGTTACTATTATACTTGTGCATATTTGTGCATCCTCATTCTCACTTTACTCATCCTCATGTCGTTCCAAACCAGCACAAAAGAAGATATTTTGAAGAATGTTGGTAAACAAACAGTTGACGGTACCCATTGACTTCTATAGTATTTTTCTCCATACTATAGAAGTCAAAGGCTACCATCAACTGCTTGGTTACCAACACAATAGAAGATTTAGTGAAGAAATGGTTGACGGTATAGCTATTGACTTGCATAGTGTGAAAAAAAAACTATGGAAGTCAATGGGTACCGTCAAAAATATTTGGCTACCAACATGATTCAGAATATTTCTTCTTTTGTGTTCAACAAGTTTGGAACAACATAAGTAAATGACAGAATTTTCATTTTGGGTGAACTATCCCTTTAAATGTTTGGTAACCAAACAGTTGACGGTACCCATTGACTTCCACAGTATTTTTTCCTCCATACTATAGAAGTCAATAGCTACCGTTACCTGCTTGGTTACCAACACAATGGAAGATTTATTGAAGAATGCGAGTAACCAAATGCTTGACGGTAGCCATTGACTTACATAGTGTGGAAAAAAATACTATGGAAGTCAATGGGTACCGTCATTTGTTTGGTTACCAGCATTCTTCAAAATATCATCTTTTGTTGTAGAGAGGTTATTGTTAGGTTAAATTTGGATTTGTATCAGGTTAAAGTTGTGTTGATAATCAGTTCTCATGAAATTAGGGCATTTTATGAAGTATAAACCTGATTCTTCAATGCATCCCGAACAAAACTTAACAGATAAATGATGTGTAATGTGAAAAACGCTATATAAATAGATTGAAAAATATAACTCATGAACTCTTTGGCCAGCGTCCTTCTGCTTGAAGATCCTCCTTTATGTTTTGGTGGATTATAATAGTTTAAAACTGTCAGAACTCTATTTTTCTGTTGACTTTTATGGAAAGATTTTTAATGAAGTAAGGCCAGATTCAGTTTTAAAATCAAATTTAAAAACTTAATTGAACTTAACTAACCTCGTTCTCGCCATGAATACAGCCGCGGTAGCTCGCACGGCGTTAAATCATAAACAAACAAAGGTTCCTTCTGCTTCAGTTCAGCTGAGGATTGTGGGTAATGAGATCTGTGTTAATATAGTAAACTCAGGCTAAACATCAGCGATGCAGAAGCTCAGAGATCTTCACTAAGACCCAGCAGATCCTGTAATCCGGTTAACTCGGGAGTTTATACAGTGACCGCTCTACTTTATTCCTGATCACGGCGGCTTCCATTCACGTCACGGCACTTTCCATGAAAAATACAAGACTATCTAGATTATTAGCGTCATCAGTTACAGCATTATTGCTCATTAATAACATAATTAGACATTTTATAGCAATTTTAGATTCCAAAATATTTCAACCTGCTGATTGGCTTCTTAGGCCCATATTCATGAATTATAACAATCTAGGTTCAGATGAACAAAATTGTGTGCATTTTCACGCCTTTGTTCAAAAAGGTGACCGTTAAGAGAATAAATAGATAAATAAATAAATAAATACACAAACAAACAAACTTGATGATTTACAGAAGACATCCACTAAAATGTCATTTAGTGTAGTTGATATTCCAAAAAATCATCAAGAATCATTGGACGACACTTTATTTAAAGGTTTCCTTGCAGCCCCTACAAACGAATTAATTGTCATTTTAAATATTGACCAATCTTTGTTACTATCCTTCTAGATAGATAGACAGACAGACAGACAGACAGACAGACAGACAGACAGACAGATAGACAGACAGACAGACAGACAGACAGACAGATAGATAGATATATGACAGACAGACTGACAGATAGATAGATAGATAGATAGATAGATAGATAGATAGATAGATAGATAGATAGATAGATGATAGATAGACAGACAGACAGACAGACAGACAGACAGATAGATAGATAGATAGTTAGACAGACAGACAGACAGACAGATAGACAGACAGATAGATAGATAGATAGATAGTTAGTTAGTTAGACAGACAGACAGACAGACAGATAGACAGATAGATAGACAGACAGACAGACAGACAGACAGATAGATAGACAGATAGATAGACAGACAG